GGCTCCTCCTCGTCCGATGAGCTGTCCAGAGTGAGATCAATAACCTCCACTTTTTTTTTGCCCTCCGAAGAGTTCTTGCCCTCGGAGCTCACGGTGTAAAGGGCGCTGGCTGCGGAGGAAAACCAGCAAGCGGCGTCAGCTGCCGGAAGGGAGACGAGCGAAACGCCACCGCCCCTCCGAGCACTACAGCCCTGCGACACGCCCTGACTTCCAAACAGCTCGTGGCAAACGCGCACCCCGTCCCAGAAGAGAAGCACCAGCCCCACGCTAGCGGTCGGCTCTCCACAGCCCACCTGGAGTTAACGCTGCAGTTCCACGGGGAACCCGCGCTATCCTTGCTTTTCCTAGCACCTACTCCACCGGGACGGGCTAAGCGCCTCTCGTGCTCCTGGTACGTCAGCGTGATCCCAAATACCAGCTCCCAGGTGGGATCCGAAACGCTCCAAGTTTTGCTTTGCAAATGTAAAAATTGTGAGTGTAAACGTTGCTTTGGGAAAACACGACGGCCACGGAAGAGCTGGTGGCCATAGCGCCCGTACCCTCGATCCCACTGAACGCAGACGTCTGGCACACCTCCGGGTTCTCCTTCCTCGGCTTCATGGGGCACCAGGAGCCGTCCTCCATGAACTGGATCTCGTCGCAGTCCGTGCAGGAGTTGAGGATGTCCATGAAGAGCCTGCCGGGCGAGAGCACAAGCTGGGGAGAGCGAATGCCCCAGGGCCTCGTGTGTAAACACCCGGCCAGCAGCGACGACGCGGGACGGATGGGGCTCAGGAGGTGGGCCAGGGGGGTGCGAGGGACGAACGGCCCCAGAACCTGCGCCAGCACCACCTGCGAGTTTGGGTTTCTGCGGGGCTGCTCAGGGTGCGCAGGAGGGCTCTGCTCAATCCCCAGGAAGGTCCCCTCGGTCCTGCCTCTGCAGAGACTGCTGGCAAGGAAGCCAAGATTTTGACAAAGGCTTCTTGTTCTTCAGGAGAAATCTCTCCAGATCGGCACCAGGGCAGTTTAGGGAATGAAAATCAGATTCTGAGTTATTCGAGGCTGTAGCTTGTCCGTATGCGGTGGCATCGGAGGGTAAGGCTGAGGAGAAAACCATTATCGAGGCCAGTGGCTGCGTCACGCCCGCTCCGCTCACCCGTCGATGATCAGGTTGTCGTACGGGGCCTTCTTATCACACACAGGACACGTCCACGTGGGCTTCTTCTCGTTCATCTGGAGGTAGAGCGCCGCGTCGAAGCACTGCAGGTGGGTGCACGTGATGGCTCGGCAGGGCACGATCAGCCTCATCTTCCCCAGCTGGGGCACAAGGAGGAGGAAACCAGTTGGGGCTGTGCAAACCCTCCCGCCGCCCACGTGACGCCAGCGGTGTTACGCCCCGTCTGCGCCCTCTTCTCCCCTGCCCAGCACGTTTAACAAGAGGTTAAACTAAATGTCAAAGAAGAAATACCGTGCAAGAGGAAAGAAGCCTTCCTGAGGGTATTTTTGCCTTTATTTTTTTGAAAGCTCACTTCCACCTCACCCACGTGCCGACAGCGAAGGCACAGGCACGGATCGGGTCACCAGCAGACACGCTGGGGCGGGCAGTTCGGGCCCCCGGCCTCAGCAATTCTTTTGTGCACGCAAGAACGCGGTTCTGCTTTCGTTTTGGAATCGCAGCTGATTTTTCAGCCACAGCAGGGCTGCGGCAGCGTTAGCTCCCGTCTCCCTCCGCGGCGCTAAGGCCGGGCCAAGAAAAACGAACAAAAACGTAGAAACCTACCGGACACATCAGGGAAACTCGTAAGCTCGTGGTGGCTATCTCACTGTCAGGATCAGCTGTTAGTTTCTCTTTGACTGAAAGAAGAGGAGAGGAAAAAAGGTCTCCTGTCAGCATCCTCCTTCCGTGGCATGCACAAATACGTACAGACACCAGTTCTGCTCTGCACCAGGACTCTCGTCGTCCCCGTTACAGGCAGGCGACGCTTACTGCCACGACTAAC